CACTCACTCACTCACTCACTCACTCACTCACTCACTCACTCACTCACTCACTCACTCACTCACTCACTCACTCACTCACTCACTCACTCACTCACTCACTCACTCACTCACTCACTCACTCACTCACTCACTCACTCACTCACTCACTCACTCACTCACTCACTCACTCACTCACTCACTCACTCGCTCACTCACTCACTCACTCACTCACTCACTCACACACACACACACACAGATGTAGCTCTTTTAGCATTACACAACTATTGTCCAGCAACAAACACAGGAGCATGTAGACTAGAGTTTTGTCTTTCCGTGTTGTCTTGTTCACCGATCTGTCGGGTCAGACTCCATGCAGTCAGTCTGACAGAAGTGTGTGTGTGTGTGTGTGTGTATGTGTTGATGTATGAGATCAGACAGAGGAAGGTGAGCTGACAGTATGTTGATGTAGTGTTTTCGACAGGTGGCTGCTGTTTCACACCATGAGCCTCTCTGAGTGTCACAGTCCGTTTGTAACACACACACACTCACGTCTCTAACTTGTCTGATCCTCTGTCTGCAGTCGTGAAGATGTGTGGGCATGGCTCTCAGACTCCGTGTTACCACGGTTACTGGATGGACCTGACCTAATGGAGAAGACGGGCAGCCTTCTGATAAGTCGACCCCGCCTCCGACAGCTGAGAGCTCAGCCAGGTGCTCCACCACCACATAAACACAGCTACTTCATAAAAATATAGATAAATATAATATATTATAATAAATATAAATATAATACAATAAATATAATGTAATATTATTTATTTATTTTTTACATTTATTCAAAGCAACTTATGGAGAAACACATTCTTTAGAGGATAATTCATATGTATGTTTTTATATATATATATACTTTTTATACAAAATATAAACACTGGATTTAGCGGGTTTAACTTTCATTATTGTTGGAAAAAAATAATAACAAAGGCATCAGTGTCTGAGCAAATGCTGAGTTTGAAGCAGAATATTGTTGTTTCAGGAAAGCATTACGTACATAAAGCGGCTCATTTTCTGCTTTTATTACCTTTGATGGTCCTGTGCTCCTGGATCTGCATAAGACTGTATAAAGAACGTCATAAAAGAGGTATAAAGAGGTCAGCACTCGCAGATGGGTGAAATGTTCTTTAATTTTCCCGAGAACAATGAGAACGACAAAGAGTGTTCAAGCAGAGCTGTCAGACTGAGACTCAGAGCATTTCATTCTGACTGAAATTGATTTTTCCTCACAGACACACACATTCATATAAGGTGGATGAGTAACAGGTTCAGAATACACTTCAGTGACCAACAAACTTTGTTCATTTACATTTTCACTACATACAGTGTTGGGGAGTAACTAGTTACATGTAACTGAATTACATAATTACAAAACAAATGTAACTGTAATCAGTTACAGAGAAAATTTTGTAATTAAATTACAGTTGCTTATGCAAATGTTTACGATTACAAAGGGGTTACATCTGAATATTTTCTCACACATACAGATTTGATTAATTTCTTTGCCAAATTGCATTGACTGTTCTAAAACATGAGACACCAATGTTTCAGGAGTTTAGGACACATGCTTATTCGATAACTGTTTTATTTCCTATTTGGGTTTATGTTTATGTTTTATTTTTTAAATTAACTGTTTTTTTTTTTCATAAAGGCATTGTTAGATGCCAGTGTTTCCTGTCATAGCTATGCACAGATTTGATTTCAAAAACAGTATCATAGCTATTAATACTATTTCTTGTTATGATTTGCTAAAGACTGATTTTGTAGTGGCGGTGCTTTAAAATTGAATTATTATAATCTTAATTCAAGTGATGAAGAATTTGGAAAGTCTGACATCAGTGTTGAGCTCTACTGTAAGGTTAACCCTGCCTGCTTTAAATGTTTTAAAATGATTAAAAATTTAGAAAAATTTCGGGGGGAAAAAAATGAAATTTAAATTTAGAAAAGTAATCAAATGTAATCAGTTACATGATTAGTTAGTTAATAAAGTAATTGAAATAGTTATTCTACTAATTACATTTTAAATAGGGTAATTTGTAATCTGTAACTCGTTACATTTCCAAAGTAACCTTCCCAACACTGATACATTCTTAGGAAACAAATAATAAAAGCACGAATCACTCATGAACTTTGACCCCCATCTTTCTTGCTGTCTTCCAGAATGCCCCGGCATTGGCTATTTCCCAGCAGCCTCGTGGTTTGGGTGTGTCCCGGCCGGATGGGCGGAGTCAGCCTCAGAATTGGTGCAGAACTGGAGTATCAGTACAGCTCAGAGCAGCGGGTGAGAGTCACATGATGCATTTGTCTTCTTTTATCGGCCAAACTGAAAATCCCAGGATTCATTACACAGGAGAGTGAAATGTCAGTTGTGAGTTGAAGCTCCTGTGCAAACCATAGGATGGTTTGGGGAACAGGGTGAATTTCAACTGGCAAGGCAATTTAATCTACAAGATTAAAGAAGCTTTGTTCTTCCATGACACCACTTGTAATAACTGTTGTCATCCAAATTTGGCTTTTGATCTCTTGGTTTTTTGTTCTGGAATACAAGGGTCAACTAAACTGGAGGCCGTCAGGCTCCTGGATCAGTGTGCGTTCAGTCTGTACAGATCTCTAGCTGAATTAATCATGACCCAGGCTGATCTTGGATCATGTCTTCTGGTTCAGAGGTTGTCTTTGTTTTCTCCTCTGCTCTGGAGCCTCGTCCGCATGTCAGTGAGATTCTCATGCAGGTTTGATGTGTGTACAGTGTGTGGCACTGGGGTCAGGTGTCTGTCTACAGCAGCGCTGGATTCGTGCAGGATCTCAGCAGGACCATGCAGGACTCCAGAGCTGTGATCAAACAACTCAACACACACCAGTGGCTCGACCCGCTGTGAGTATAAACTCACACACAGACACTGATATATACAGCCAATGCATACTAATTAGTTAGTGAGGAGATGCTCAACAAAAGACTGTGGAAGGAGGAGGAAGTTGTTTTGGAGGGAACTTGTTTTATATTGACTATTTATTGCACACTCATTTGCACCACACAATAGGCCTTTTAGGAAATTGATCAAATCAAAAAAAGAACAACAGTTGGCTTCTCAAAACTGAGCTCAAAATGTATTACCAGTTATCAGTCGTGAAATTATTACCTAATGAAAATAACTTCATAATTGCTAGATTATCAGATACATTATTTAATATTTTCGAATAAATTATTTGTTTTTATTAATTAAATACATTTTTGATTACCAGATTGATAAGCAAAATGTATATTTTTATATTATATTGTATTACATTAGATTAGATGATTTTTTTTTTCTTGTTTAGGCATGTCATAATTCATTGCTTTATTTAAAGATTTAAAAATGTAAAAAATGTAATTATTTTTAATATATATATATATATATATATATGTGACCCTGGACCACATAAATCTTTTTTTGTAAAACATGTTTTATTATATTATATTATATTTATTGATTTTTATTATTGTTTTCTCAATTATTAAATTACTACAGTATTTTATTTTCCTGTAGTCTAATAGACTGGAGGGAACGATACTGAGAACAACTGTCCTCTGATGTTTTGTGTGTTTGTGTTCAGGACCAGGGCTCTATTCGTGGAGTTTCCCCTCTATAACATCAACACCGATCTGTTGGCCGTCTTCACGTTCCTGCTGGAGTTTCCTGTATCTGAGCATGCTCAGTTGAGTCTGGACCTCAAAACCTGCAGCCTCCACACGCTCAGTCACGGCATGGACCTGCCGCTGTTCCTCACGGTAACATCAGCCAATCGCAAAACACTTTTGAAAGCTGATCCTATTATTTCAGTTTTTTTTTTGCTTTCTGAACAAAGGCAGAGGTTCATTAAGTTCTCTCTTTCTCTCACAGCTCCTCCTGCTGGTCTTCGTGATCTATTTTGCTGTACGTGAGAGCGCGGTTGCTTGGAAACAGGGGCGTGGCTACTTCCTGCGTTTGTGGAATGTAGCAAGTGTTTGCAGTCTGCTGTTGGCGATTTGTGTCGCCTCGCTACACCTGAGCCGCTCTGTACTCTCCGCCCACCAATGGGGGTCATTTCTACAAAAACGGGACACTTTTACGGATTTCTTTCCTCTGGCTCAGCAGAACCAGGTTCTGACCCAACTCAGCGCGACTCTGCTCCTCCTACTGGTTCTCAAGGTGAGCAAATGGCAATCAAACCCATAACTTTGGCATTGTTAGAAACATGCTCTACAGTTGGAGCTGCAGAATGCCATGCCTTAATAAATGGTGTAGCGAAGTCTCTACTATAATTTTTTTCAAGTGCTTAGAAATATGGAATAGTGTGAGATGGTGTACTAGATGAAGTTCAGAACTGATAACTACAAGAATGAACCATTGTGCCCTTGAGCAAGGCACTTAACCTCAGGTTATGCCAGCGGGATTGTCCTGTTAATTAGTTTGTTCGGGACAACGAAATGAATGCTAAACGCACATCTGCAAAGTCATAAATTCCCACCTCAAGTTCTTCTCCTGTACACATCAGTCCAGACATCACTAAATATTTAAAGGTTCTGTATATAATATTGACAGCTAGCAGTCCAGTCCAAATTCAGAATATTGGAGGGAGTTGTTTCTCCTGCCCCTCCTACTCAGGCTCGATGCTCATGTGGGTTGCCAGATTGAGCACACGCAAGAAGAACGAGTGCAATTAACAATGGAACAGATGGATGCTGAGGCTTTTTAGGTTGGGTAGAATCTGCCGTTTCTGACCCAGTTCGTTTGCTGGCTTCCATGGCTGCGGTACACAGTGTTTTCCGCCAACTGGCAACCCGGTGTGTCGAAATACTACTGGGTAAATTGGCAGTGGGTGAAATCACAGAGACCACAACAAAAACAGACATTCCGACACAGAACGTACATTTCAAAGTAGAATAACTGGCTGTTGCGTTGTTTTTCAGCAAAACAAGTATGTGAATTTAGCAGGTCTCCTAAATGTCGGCAAACATATTATGGTGTTTTTTTAGGGCTTCAATTCTCAAAGAATTGATTCTGAGCGTAGTTTTTAACAGTAGACTTTGATCTACAGTAGTCAGCATTTGAAGTGCATCAAAATCTTTCATCAAAGTTGTCCTAAAACCTAAAACCAAAATGTGTTCTTATCTTAGAACAACTTTGATGAACTTTTTTGATCCACTTCAAGTGTTGACTACTGTAGTTTTTAACCGCACTCTCAAATGCTCATGAAGAAGAGCGCTTGTGCGTTCAGCTGAGTCATGTAATTGCACCTCGGCTCAGAATGCTTTTATGACGCCAGATTAATGTAAACAGCTCACTGTAAAAACCCTTGTGATTAGCTTCAAACTTTTCAAACTTTATGAATGATTATTTTAGGTTCAAGTGTGTGTAAGGAACAGGAAGCAAGCAGTTTGCAGAGTACGGCTGTTTCTAAAACATGCAGTGCCATCTTCTGTTAAAACCTAAGCTCAGAATCAATTCGAGAGAGAAATGCGATGCATTTGGAAAATCTCAGAATCGATGCAGAATTTCTCGATTCGCGATGCATTGATTTATTTCCTCGGCCCTAGTATTTTTATGCTTTAGTACAGTCAAAAAATCTTGAATAATTCTACAATAATTAATGATATAAAATACAAACCGGCGAGGCATTATTTATCACTCACTTCATTTATCTCTTTTTAGGCATCACACCAGCTGCGTTTCATGAGAGAATGGGGGGTTTTCGGGAGAACGCTAAGGAGATCTTTCTGGGAGCTGCTGACAGTTGCAGTCACTCTACTCGTGTTCCTGTTGGCATACTCACACACCGGACACCTGGTTAGTACACACACACACACACACCATCTGCAAAATGATTTAAACCACATGGACTCATGGTTCCTTGGTAAACACAAACCTGTCAGTGTTTTTTCTGGAAAATGAATAATGCATTTTGTCATGATTATACCGGTGACCTACGCGCATCAACAAATTTCGTACTAATGCAGAGGAAACGAGTACAATTAAAGACATTTATTAGATGCATAAAGGACTTGAGTTCATAAAAGCAGCACATCTCCTTGACGTCAGCCAATTATTTATCTGAACTGAATGTCCGTGTCTTTTAACTATGTACATAACTGAGTGTACGAGGACCTTGATTCTGCCTGAATTACAAATTTCCTAAATTTTCCTGTAAAACTTGGCATGCTGAAGTGACCTTGTGTATAAACTGGGTATTGTTATTAGTTGTTTGTTAAGCCAAGCATCACCATTGCTGTTACTCATACAGAGGGATTTGAGCAAACACACAAAACTAATGTATTAAACATCAGGGCATAGCTTCTTCATGTGGCTTGCTAAGGAGAGTTGTGCTTTTAATTTTTAAAGAAGGTGCAAAATCCCATAGACCAGAATATTATAGAGATTTGGGGTTGGGCTTTTTTGACTTGGGCCAGTAAGCAACCATCACTTCAACAACCACATAACAGTGCCCTAGCAACTTCTTAACAATTCACTGATGACCGTATTGTGGGTTCAGTTGTCTGTGCCTGTGTACTCATTTGTATACGCATGTTTGTGTTTGGATCTGAACACACCACCCTTCCTTAATCCTGAATTATTAAATTAAAATTCCAAGAAATTCTAGGCTGTTTACATAAAGAAAGTGCAAAAAAAACTTTGACACAATGGTGAAGCGGACACAAGAGACTGTTAAATTATCTCCCTCACTCAACTAGAATATTTAATGGGTCAATTATGAGCCATTAGTGAACATTTTATATCTCTTAAAAGCAGTCTGTTCTGATCAATAACTTGAATATTTATTTTCTGGATTTAGTCCAGAACTATGTATAAATTTTTTTTTAAAAAGTTTAGCAAAATCTTAAGACAAGTACGATCTTTTTTTCCTCCCCTCTAGCTTTTCCACTCTGTCATGGAGGGCCACGGAACTGTTAGCTCTACTTGCTTGAAGTTACTAGGCTCTAATGGGCGTGGACTGTTGTCATGGCGACCGGACAGTGGCTCCTCTCCATGTTCTGCTTCCTGTTTCATCTTCTACATTAGCTTCACTCTCCTCCGACTAGTTTTGCTGTGGCTTTTGATCTCGCCGTTGCTAAGGAACTATCGTCGGGCAAGGGCGGAACTGTACCGTCCAGCCGTTGACCTGCAGGACTATGAAATGGTGGAGTTGTTCCTGCGACGCCTCAAAATGTGGATGGGGCTCAGCCGTGCTAAAGAGGTCTGTGTTCTTCCATAATACTCAAGATTCCCTGCCCTTTTGTCAAATGAAAGGTGTTACCAATGTAGCATGTCAAGAATTAGGTCTTCTAGCATGTATCTGATGTATTTATGAACTCTGTGTAGGTTTATGGAAACACAAGTGGATGTTTCTACCCGAGGCACTTGTTGTTTATCCACTGTTTTTTTTGTTTTTTTACCAAAATTGAATAGCTCAATTGATCCCATTTTCCCTTCCATATATTGGTAGTATATTTGTAGAGGGTTTTAATCCAAAGCAATTTGCAGAGCAAAAAAAGATTCCCCCTGAAACACAAGGTCTTGATAAAGCAGAATCTTAGTAACTTTGGGTATGGCTAAAGCTCAGGGTGAGTAAATGGTTGCTGGTCAAACACTCCAAAGAACGAGCCATGAGCTGTTACCATTGGGTTCTTACCCTGGGTTGTTCCCAGGGGATTGTCTTTAGAAAATTATTCAGTAAGTTGCTTTGGATAAATGAGTACTTGCTTCTTACCTACTCTCTAGTATGTTGAGTCACATGTCCTCCAGATTAAACCTTCATCGCATGCCTTTGTCCTTTAAATTACCACCACCTTCTCTTGACCCATTATCCCTTTCTTCCCCAACAGTTCCGGCACAAGGTGCGGTTTGAGGGTATGGAGCTCCCTCCTTCACGTTCCTCTTCAACTAGTGACTGCAAGTCCTTGTGTCTTCCTCCTCTGGACACTCCTGTGGCTCCCCCAACTCCCGACAGCATTGACGGAGGATCTGAGGCCTCCTGGCGTCCCACATCCAGCAGCCCTTGCAGTTTGGCTGAAGCCCCAGGTCTAGGACTTGGCCTCACTTTAGGTCTTGGGGTGATAGTTGGAGGCCAAGGCTGGAAAGAGAGAGCTGAGATGGAGGCAACACTCCGCAGAATCCTCCCAGCATTCGATGCTTTGCTTCTGCAGCTGGACCGGGTAACCCACGCCACAGAGGAACTGTATCGAACAGAGTGCCACCTAGAGAGACTGCTGAGGAAGAGTAGAGGACGGGGCAGAGGGGTACGCCGCCACAGAAGTCTGGAGTCTGCAGGACAGAAGAGACATAGATACAAGGGGACAGACAGGAGTACACAAGTGGCACAATCTCCCCTGAGAACTGTAATAAGTGCACCTGCATCTGAGAGAAATCCTCACAAGAGAGATCGAAGGTCAAGGAAATCAGAGAAGTTCTCACAAATCACAAGTGCTCTTACCACAAGCCTCAATAAGATGGACTTGAGTCCCCACAGGACCAATAGTCTCCAAAAGACTCAAGAAACCCCTAGTACCGAGGTGGTAGATGTTGACAAGACTGAGAAAGGCCCTCGCAAGGCGGACTCGGGTCCCCTCAAAGCAAGTCCACCTGAGGGGGACAGTAGTCAACCTAGAGGCCAAAAGGCTGACAAGGTTTCTCATAAAGTAAAAGGAACCTCCAACAAGGTAGACCCAAATTTCCAAAGGGAATCTGAGGTTGCTGGCTGTGCCAACAAACCCATCCCTACCCCTGTTCCCACTCCAGCATCTGCTTCCTCAACTGCTCCTGTTTCTGCCATAACTACCCCTGTACCGATTCCTCGCTCCCATGAGTGGATTTCTCCCACCAACAGCGAGAACCTTCCCTCCAGCGTGTTCCGGCACCCTGCACACACTACTACGAATCCCACCCGCAAACGCAAGCACAAACCTCCCCCACTTAAAAATAAGGTGCACCCCAACCCAGACAGACCTATCTCAGGACACCCCAAACCTTGAGACCCCAAGGTTCCACCAGTCAGTAGACAAGTACAGGCAAGGATTTGGAATTGAGTTGTAAGGCTTAGGAACTCGAGGAATGTTGAAGCTCAAGGGTTACAGCATTTCATGAAGAAAGGAGGACCTGGTGACAGCAGGTTTTGTAACCAGGCCCTCAAGAAGAGCGAAAGCAATAAAAGTTGCTTAAAACCAAATAATACACCATAGCCTTAAGTTCCAACCCACAAGTCTTTTGATTTGTAATGCCTTACTAAAAGTCTCAAGATGGAAACTGGGTGCAGGTCACCATGGTTTCTACAATCCTCAAGAAGTTCCAGTTGATGCAAGTTGCCCTTTTCCTTCCCCACTTGCAGTGACCTCAAGTCCAACCTCTTGACCCTGGTGGTCAACTGGGTTGAAACCGACAAGAGCACACCTTGTGCTGTCGCAACAACAAAACAAACTCTTGAAAGAGACAATGAAGGACTACAACAGCAAGCCTGTTGATGCAGGATGGCTAAAGCTTGATGGTATTTGTTGTACAATGTTTTTAGTTATGTTTGATGAAATGTTCTTTTTTGTGTTGTTAAAGGAAGCTATCTTAAGGTCATCGGTATATGTATCGCCCATTTATGCAGAATAGGCACAGCTTATTCGAAAAGGGCTCACACTGACAAACTCGCACACATACAGACATAAAAACACCCTGATTGCAGGTACATATTTGATGAGATTACATAAATATAGAGCTATGCTTCGAGGTACTTATGCATAATTCATGCTTCTTAATATAATGGCATGTTGCGAAAAATAGACACAAAAACATATCAGAAAATATAAGAACTTTTACAATTTACCCACTTACACTTATACACTCACACTAACATACTTCTGAAGAGGCCATCAGGGTGCTAAACAACTAGTAATCCTCAGGATTTCAAATATATTTCTCTGACATAATTGCTCACACAGAGCTCCATTCAGAGGTTTCTCAGAGCGAAACGGACCAGAGGGCGAGTGAGAGAAGATGAAATTAGAAGGAAAACTGAGAGAAGGGAAAGCATGTCAGAAAGTGTGAATTTAAAGGGAGACCAAAAATTTGGTATAACGTAATAGTAGGACATGAAATGTTAGATGAAGTAAGGAAAAAGTTGAGGCAGAATTAAGACAAAGGTACGTCCCTCATTCAAGCACAACTCCCAGAATTCTCTGTATGGGGATTTGTTATTCCAGCAGGTAAAAGCGATGTTCCATAAAGCATTATTATTGTTAAGTAGTTGTTATTAAGTAGTTTGTTAATGAATGAAAAACCAGCTTATGATAAATGGAAGTGTGTTTGTTGCTGCCTTCTATGATGTTTTGAATTTAATTTAAAAAGCACTTTGTATTGATGTTTTAATATGAATGATTGTGACGGCATCGGTGTGATTTAATTTGAATGTGTTATGGAAAATGTTTTGCAGAAATAATAAAATAAGCTTGGTATGAACATAAGAGATAGTTACAACAGCATTACTCTCCGTATAATTTTGCCAAAGCTTGCAACTCAAGTAAGAAATAAACTTGTTTCTTTTGAACTTAGCACTTTATTGCACTGTCAAGCTTTAGTGCTTTGCCATATTTAAACTAGTATGTACTATTTCTTCACATACAACTTTCCAGAACTATTCTCTTTGAGTATTATACACAAGCTGCATCGGGATATTAATTACCATTAATTTTCATGTATTTGTTTCTACAATGTGTTGATTTTATGTCTCTTGTGAAGTACTACATTGGTATTTACCGTGATGATGCTCAGGGTCCCTCTTTTTAAAAACCCAAACTAGGATTTTTTGTTTTTTTGTTGTTTTCCGCTTTAAACAATACATGTATTAAGGTCTCATATATTGAAATTAGAGTAGTTGAGAGTGATTTGATGATTAGCTTAAGCACTCGAAAATATCCACTACAGGGAGTTTTGATTCTGTCAAAGGTCACTTCCACTACAGTAACGTTCTTATTCAGGCCATTCCAGATGAGGTTTAGAAAGGTCATGTTTATCTGTACATATTGGTGTGCCCTGATGTAAATATTGTATTCGAGTTTGATTGCATTGTTTTAATCTCGTTTGCCTTAACCGCACTGAGTAGAAATTTCAGTACACAAAATGGATCGCAGTATGCACAATCATTTCACACAAATGCTTTGGCCAAAGGAAAAAATAAGACCCAAAAAAGGTATGAAAGCATTGCTATTTCCAACAGAACTACACACAGCACAAGCAGTCATTTTAAAATATAATGGCTTTTTAGTAGTTCTTTGCAGGAAAGTATTGCCGCTAAAATATTTCTTACTTTTTGTCAGAAAAAAAAAAATCATGTCTGCCATTTCAAACCAGTCACAAGTGCCAAAACATACTTGCATGCAATATTGTAAAGTCTTATTTTTTGGTATTAAATGCTGAAGGTGCAGTAATGTGTTGATTGCAGGTTTGACATTTTGTGTTGAATTGTGCTGTTGTACTTGTAACGTTGTAGCACTTCGCTTTACATGCTTTTGCACTTGACAAAGTCAAATAAAGAGTCTGACAGCTGAGCGTCTGTGGTTCCTGTGGGGCTTCAATTCAAGATATTGATTCACCATTCTCTTGTCTTTCAAATCACAACTAAAAACTCGTCTCCACCTAACACTATCTTTTGACTTACATTTACATTTAGTCATTTAGCAGACGCTTTTATCCAAAGCGACTTACAAATGAGGACAATAAAATGAGGACTTCTAATGTTTAAATGAACAGACAGTGTTGAGTGTAACGCATGATTAATTAATTACGGTAATTTACTTACATTTACCTTATAAAGGCAAAATAAGGGATTGCTCAATTTTATTTGTTACTTCTGATGTAACTGCATTAAACATAGGCTATAGAACAATTATATATAAAACAATAGTGGATTTAAAATAAGAAACTAATATTAAATGATACAATGTATGTTTTAATATAACCTCTACTTTGATCAGTTCAAGGGCAATTTCTGCACTTTTTTTATATAATTTATTTCAAAGAATTAAAAGACCTATCCTTGTTGATTTAGAAAGCAATTAGTAATACATAATGCAATATTTTTAGAGAGAGCAATTAGTACAGTAATCTAATTACACTGTTGAAGATGTAATTGGTGGCTAGAAATTAATTACTTTTTTTTTTTTAGAGTAACTTACCCAACACTGCTAATAGTGAAGCGCTTTTCACACTCAGCCCGTGTTATTGTCGTTCTACACCGTGCTTTTAAGGTTTATGAAGTTTATGAAACCTTGCTCCGGAGAAGGGTTAGCGGCGCATTTGCTCTGCCAAACTTGTACAGTTTGAAAAGATTTTATTACTAGATGCTTAGCAACAGTTTAATTAATTTAATTTATTTAATTAAGAAATACTCAATATCAAATGAAAATATCAAATGGTGACAGTGAAAATGAGTTAGAAAAGTCCACTCAGGAAAAACTAGATACAGTCGCTAGTATATAATATGATGAGGCGCTATGCTAGAGCCGTTAACGATCACGTGCTGCGTTCGTCCAATCAATGCAACGCAATAAACCTTTTTCACAGACGGTGATGACGCGTTTTAACGGTCATCAGCATACCAAAACCACCCAGTTTTTTTATATTTAAATTTTTTAAAAATTGTGTGTACATTTATAACACTTCGTATTATTTTAACTTCGCATCAAATTACAAAAAAACAACATTTAAAACTACCTTAAGGATAATGCAGTATAGGAGCCCGTTTGGACAGAATAAACTAAATTAAAAAGGTAATTGCGACTTTTTTTCTCACAATTGCGAGTTTACATCTCGCAATTTTAACTTTTTTTTCTCAGAATTGCCTGATACAAACTTGCAATTCTGACATTTTTTCTCAGAATTGTGAGATACAAATTCGCAATTGCAAAAAGAAAAGTCAGAATTGCGAGTTTATATGACGCAATTCTGAGAGAAAAAAAATCTGAATTGTGAGATAAAAAGTTGCAATTACCTTTTTTATTTTTATTCAGTGGCGGAAACGGGCTTCCATAATACCGCGTCTACAGGAGTGAAGGTAAATTTTTACATCGTTTTTTCTTCTGACTGCCATTAGTCTCTCGTTTTCCTCTTATTGGAAAGTCGTGAAAACACTAATGTGGAGTTTTTCTGTTGCTATTTGAGCAAATGGGAACTCAAAAATATATCTTATGTAGTCTCCCATTTACCCAACTGACCTTTTTCACATTTCTGGGTTTCTCAGCAGCAACAATTAAACCTAGGTTTAGTTGTTAACTCGGGGTAATGAGCAGTGTTAAACATGAAAAAAAAAAGCCAGGGTTATAACTATTTCAAGTGTGAGAAGCCCTAGATGTATCCGAGTTGAGTTTTGCGTTTTAGAAAGGTGCTATAAATAAAAATAATCAACTCTTCAATATTGCCCTTATAAAGTTAATTTACACAATACACAGGCATACACAAGATTTAGACAGTAAATGATGACAGAAGTATACAGAGGTTTTACTCAAGAGTGAAAGTAGACTCTGAACAACAGCAGGATTTGCACATTTCAGTGTTTTATTTGGTAGCGAAGCGCACACATGCACACACTTCTGATGCGGTTTACCGTACTAGCTGTTGTTCTGCGAATCTGTTGTTCTATTAGAAACTCATTAGATAAGCAATAACCATCACACACACACACAAAGAAAACAACAGGAACCAAGCAAAACGGTAGGACGGTTAATATCACAGACCATTTTCATATATTCAGAGAAAAACAACAAGAGAAAATGAGTGCGTGAACAACACAAGTTTGCTCTAGAGAAAGAAAGGTGTGGATGAATGAAGATGGGCAGAGACAGGAAAGCGTGTTAACCGTGTGCAATTTAGTCGTACTGCTAAAAACGGCTGCTGATAATGCCAGTGCGTGCGTTTACATCCATCTGTCAGCAGTCAGAGCAGCGCTTTGTGAAATTAATTCATGCAGTCACAGCGTTGAGTGAGGCTGAGCGGATCTCTTACTTCCTGTGGCACACTGGGTTGTATTAAAGGTGATCAAATCTTACAAACACCAAACCTCACTGCCCTCTGCCTTCAGGAGTGGATTGGTTTGTCTGGACTGATGGGAACGCAGCGTATCTCTCGGTCTCAGTTAGAAACACGCCACTGGTCTCTCGCTAGACAAAGTCTGTGAAATCGTCGACGGTGGACACCAGCCTCTTCCTCTGAATGGCATCTGGGTTCGGAGCAGAGCCGGAGGGCTGGTGGGCGGGTTTATTCTGCATGGGGGCGTGGCTTTGGGTCACAGAGATTGCGTGAGTGGGGCGCGACTGAATTTCCTCTTGAGCCTGTGGATGGAGAAAACATCCTCCATGTAATATATATATATATATATATATATATATATATATATATATTTCATACAGTATATTGTAGGCCTGGGCGATAAAACGGTATCGATATTTATCGGCGGTACACCTTCTTCGATATCGATAGAAAAAATGTTCGAAAAATGTTTTTATAGAGTTACTTCTTTGCGTTGACAATTTAAATGCGCTGCATTATTTTGCTCATTGCGCCCTCCTGTGGCCTCGGGAGACAATTAGACCTATACAATAAAGACCTATTTAATCTGCATATAAAACATTAGAAATGAGATATTTGTTTTTTATTGTGTTTGATTGTTAAAACAAAAAATATTTGTTGTTTGTCTCAATAAATTGTGTTAAATACAGTGGTTAAATTTAAAAAAAAAAAATTATATTGTTTTTTGTTTTAAAAAAGGTTATAAAAAACGTCAATAATTATCGATACCGAACGATATGAAACATTATATCGTTGATACATTTTTTAGCTATATCGCCCAGCCCTAGTATATAGACACACTACCAATCAAAACATTGGGGTTATGTTTTTTTTTTCTTCAATCTAACAATATAAGTCTTTACTATCACTTGTTATCAATTGAACACATCCACATGAATAAAAGCATTAATTTATTTCAAAAAAGACTAAGTAAAAAATGTAGTGACCCCCAACTTTTAAACAGTAGTGTATATTGTTACAAAAGATGTCTATTTTAAATAAAAGCTGTTCTTTTGAACTTTTTATTCACCAAAGTATCCTAAAAAAAGTATCACAGCTTCCAAAAATATTAAGCAGCCCAACTGTTTTCAACACTGATAATAAATCAGCGTATCAGAATGATTTCTGAAGGATCATGTGACACTGAAGACCGGAGTAATGATGTTGAAAATTCAGCTTTGCATCACAGGAATAAATTACATTTGAAAGATTATAAACATAGAAAACCATTATTTTAAATTGCAATAACATTTCACAATAATACGGTTTTTCTGTATTTTTGATCAAATAAATTCAGCCTTGATGAGCAGATGAAACTTCTTTAAAAAAAATTTTTTTTTAAATACGTACTGATCCCAAACTATTGAATGGCAGTATATTCACATTCAAAAGTTACATATAGATATAGATAGATATAAATATAGAAATAATATATATATATGAGCTTTCGTACCCGTGTCCTGATCCTCTTGATGTGTCTCAATCTCGCCAGCCATTTTGAAGCGTAGGCGTCTGATGGGTTTGCTCTACACTGATGCACCAGCGATGCCATCTATACAAGACAGGAAAGCAGATAAAACACTCATTAAAAAGGTTCAAATGCAATGGGATCATTTGAAATTATGGTATAAAGAATGAAAACAGAAGCTGTGACCACCTTCTGAATTGTGACATATTTTCCAGCAAAATGAACAAGAAAGAAGTGTAGCATTGGACCAGATTTTCTCTGTTAGTGAAAGGCGAGTGCCGTATGCTGGAATACACTTTGATCTGGGATAGCAACATGGTGCCAGGATTGCACATAAATTCCCAAACTAAAGTATTTTCTGTCTCCTAAAGTTCCCTTGTAACCATGGAAACAAGAAGTGAATAATCCACCCCAAAAGAGTCTGTGATGAACCTGAAGAACACAGCCACTCCAACCACCCAAAATCAGGGATGTAATAAGTTCTCAAAAAATGACACTCAAGTGAAAGTAATGTGACATTTTGCTCAATTAAAAGTCCAAGTATCTAGCCAAAAACATACTTGAGTGAAAGTAAAAAGTACAACTTTAAATTGCACTTAAGTATTAAAAAATTTGAAGTAACCTAGCAAACATTTCTGGTTTAAGCATTTGAAATCTTTTTCTCAATGTTAACTGAATGAATTGCATACAGTGTTGTCAGACAGAAAAAGAAAAGGCCTTTTTTTTGCAGGGGAAAAACAAAAAACACAAGGTGCAGAGGTCAAAAACGTCCATGTGTAAATAGAACAAACTATGGAAGCTTGTTTCCACCTATAAACGTTTTTTTTATTCTGTTGCGTAAAAAAGATTGTAAGATGTAAACTCAGAACTCACATAAAAAAAGACAGAATTGTGTTTTAAAATTCCAGAGGGAATTTGATATATATATATATATATATATATATAATATTAAAAATATATATAAAACTGAATTCCAAGAAAAAAAAATCAGAATTGTGAAAAAAAAAAATAATGAATTCCAAGGGGGAAAAAAATCGGAATTGTGTGGAAAAAAACCCCTCAGAATTCCAAGGAAAAAAACTCAGAATTGTGAAAGAAAAAAAAAAAGAAAAAAAAACTGTATTCCAAGGGGGAAAAAATCTGAATTGTGAGAAAAAAAAACTAGAAATCCAAGAAAAAAAGTCAGAACTGTGAGATGTAAACTTGCAATTCCCAGGGGAAAAAAACAGAAATGTGAAAAGAAAAAAAAGAAAGAAAAGAATTTCAAGGAAAAACACTAAAAATTGTGGGGGTGGGGGTGTTGGAAATCCAAGGGGGGAAAAAAATCTGAATTGTGAGAAGAAATGTGAAATGTAAACTCAGAATTCCGAGGGAAAAAGTCAGAATTGTGAGATGTAAACTCTGAATTGTGAGATATGAACTCACACTTCTGGGTAAAACGTCCAAATTTTGAGATACAAACTCGCGCCCCACTCACAGATGATTTTTTAAATTCTGTGGCAGAATTAAGCTTTCATATGAAACAGAAAAAAAAGAGACAAAAGACAAGGAGGTGTCTCACATTGGCGTGGAGTGCCATCTGTCTCACGAGCAGCGGTAGATTGCGGTCAGAAACGATCTTTGCCACACTGGTGTCGACCAAACCCTCCAGATCTGAGAGAGGAGGAGGAGGAGTTACAGCGTTACTGAGCATACACACACATAATTTAATAATAATTTATGCATTTAGCAGACATTAAAGCGACTTACAGTGCATTCAGGCTATACATTTTTTTTTTTACCAGTATTTTTTTTACCAATTCCCAATTCCCTGGGAATTGAACCCACAACCTTTTGCGCTGCTAACGCAATGCTCTACCACTGAGCCACAGGAACACTATTTAACTATATAACATATAACCTTTCACCTTTCCGGCACTGCAGCGTCACCAGGTTACTCTCGTAGTCCAGAGGCTTTATAAGCACCTCCACGAAGTTGAACTGACCCTAAACGCATGAACAAACAAAATATCATCAATTAAAAATGCTTGTGAAAGAATGTGGCAGCAACGGAAATGAGATGTGTGGGGATTCTCTCACACACCTTGATGGTGCCGAGTTTGTACTCCTCTCCGGAGTCATTGTAAACCACCACCACAAAGTCGTTCCCAATGTGGCGTTTCTTATTGCAGCAGCCCTTGTCGCTCTCGCGGTTCGGCATCAGAGTGGCTATATGGAAAATCGCTGCAGAGGATCAAAACACCTGCATTAGCTTCACCTCCTGCTCCGAACGCTCTTTATGAACACTTCAGACGCTGTAATGAGCATCACATAATAACGCTCAAACACTCGAAGCCAGCACTGACTGAAGTGCCTAAATAAATCATATTTCACATATTTGATATACTTCACAGGTTTGCTTTTATAAGTGGTAGGGTTTTTCTAGGAACTCTTATTATTTTGTTTAATAAATAGTTATAAATAGTAAATAATAATGATAATAATAACTACAGCTACTAGTAACAGTAGTAATAATAAATAATAATTAGAATTAATACACCTACTAGTACTTAATTATTATTATTGCTATTATTATCATTTAGTGCTGTCAAGCGATTAATCGCATCCAAAATAAACATTTTTGTTTACATAATATGTAATTATGTAATGTTTACATAATATATGTGTGTGTACTATGTATATTTATAATGTATATATAAAGACACACACATGCAATATATATATATTGAAAATTTATACATGTATTTACATGCATATATTTATATTCATATAATTTATATTATATATAAATATATTTAAAATATAAACAACATATTTGTCTTAAATATACACATGCATGTGTATGTATTTATATATACACACCTAATAAATATACACAGTACACAGACACACACATATTATGTAAACAAATACTTTTATTTTGGATGCGATTAATCGCGATTAATCGTTTGACAGCACTATTATTAATTATTATATTATTGTTGCTCAATCAACAGTAACTAAAGAAATACTGACTTGAGATCTTGTTTGCTAGTTTTTTTGCTAAGTGTTATATTATATCTAAGAACTTCATAATTAATGATTAATGATAAAAAATAAAAATAACAATTAGTATATATAATTTTTATTATTATTACTCAAATTCAACAGTGATTAAAGAAAGACTTACTAAATATAGTTTGCTAGTTTAAAAGGTTTGCTAGTATTCAATATTAACAATAACAACAATAACTACTTTTGTTAGTAGTAGCAGTGAGAAAGAATATTAAATAAGAATTAGAATAAATAAGAATTAAATTAGAATTAATTAAAATATACACACAAACACACACACATATATGTATGTATGTATGTATGTATATGTATATATATATATAATTTGTATATGTTGGATTATTTGAAAATGTGTTATAAAAATAGAATTTTAAAACATTATTATTATTATTATTATTAAGAAAGATTATTTTAATGGTAACGCTTTACAATAAGGATTCATCTGTTAACATTAGTTAACATGAACTAACAATGAAAAATACTTAAAAATTGATTAATCTCAGTTCATATTAATTTCAACATTCACTAATGCATTATTAAAATCCAAAGTTTTATCTGCTTATATTAATGGAGCTAACATGAACGTACAATGTTGTACTTGTATATTAATTAACGTTAACAAAGATAAATAAATACTGTAACAAATGTATTGCTCATTGTTAGTTAATATTAGTTAATGCATTAATTAACAATAACTAATGAACCTTGTTGTAAAGTGTCACCATTTTAACATTTAACAAAATAATAATTATTTTAGAATAATTATAGCTCTTGTTATTTTTATGCGTAACAATAATTCTTTACTACTATTTCTTATCCCGACTACCCTGACCTTGCATGATGTCATCGTGCCAGCAGTAGGTGAACTCTCCGTCGTCTCCGTACTGATCCAGTCCACCCAGGAAGATCTGGTCTGGGTCGCAGTCCTTCAGGTGGATGAGCTTTCCCAGGCCCGTGAGGAACTGAGCGTAGCGGTTGGAGCCGTACTCGTTGGACAGGATCGACACCTCGTTATTCGCCTGATAATAAACAACCGTCAATCATACAGACTTCCAGCAACATCTGAAACAGCAGAACGTGACTCTACCTGCCCGGCTCCAACAAACACCACGCCGATCTTGTGAGTGTCGTACGGAGGCATCTGATCCAGGACTTTAACGGCACGATCGATCAGCTGTGAACGCCAGACCACACTACATTAATATTAAGACAATCAAGAGGCCTATAGAAAGTGATTGGGTCAATCTCAAAGACAAATCTAAATCCAAATTATATAATGAAGTCTAAAAATTATTTCTATAGATTATTTTTTTTTTTTTAGAAAATTTTATATTTTTTTATTATTTTTTAGAAAATTATTTTTATAAATAATAATCATTAGTTTCCCTTTAAGTTCTCATTACTGTAATGCAAAGCCATTCCCATGACTGTAATTCAGTCTCATCCAGTCCTATCCTATCCAGTGATATTTTAGTACCATTGATATACCATTATATATTTTTCTTATTATTTTGAATATATTTTATTTTTATAATTTGTTACGATTTTAGTTTAAAGTTTTAGCAGTGGTGGAAATTTTTTTGTTGTTGTTGTTTTTATTTCTTTTTTAGTTATAGTTATTTGAATACTTCAACTTAAACAAAAATGTGAAATGTTGGCTTGCCAAAATGTTTTTATTTACTTATTTATTTTATTTCAGTTAATGCTTGTTTTATTTTGATTAATGAAAATGTTTTGGTTTTTAGTTTTAGCTATAGATAATAACCCTGACTTAAAACTAAAATCTGCATAAATTATAACAAATACTATTATAATGGATACATTAAACTGTTAAATTATATATAACATTGCATATTATTATTAAAAATAATAATAATAAAAAAACAATAATAACAACTATTAATATGGTTAGTAGTAGCAGAGAGAAAGAATATTAAATAATAATAGGTATTTATATGTATAGGTATTTATTTTATTATTATTGTGTATTACTATTATTTTACTATTATTGTTAATACTGGTAATAACCCTGATCTTATCCAGTTTTTTAACCAAAATCTGCATAAATTAATAAATTATAACAAATACTATTACCATGGATTATATATATATATATATAAAATAAGACAAATATATAAAATTTAAATGTTTTGGGCCAAAAAACAGACCTTTATGATTTATTATTATTATTATTATTTTATTTTATTTTTTACATTTTTGGTTTCCTTTTTTTTGATTTGGTGTGAAATTAGATGTAATGTATATGCGAGATTTGCCCAATTATAAGAGAGATGCGGTCTCCTCACCTGAGATTTGGGCAGCAGGAGGGGTTTGTTGGCTTCATTGCCAAAGAACGGAGAGTGATAGAGCTGCAGGAAGACGAAGCTGCCGACAGAAAGAGGAGCAAAGGTCAGGCTGAACCTCCACGCAAACACAAGTGCACACCGCACAGCTTTCATCTGCCTACACGCAACTCACCTCATCACACAGGAAAATATCACAGCTAAAGGTGAAGTTTGGAGAGGATAAGCGCTCGATCGGGAGAAGTGTCCCGAAACGCTCTCCAGACCTCATGAGACCCATTAAATCTGGCCCAGCACAACTGTGCAAATGAGGATACAACTCCAGACTTAACAGAAATCTTGCCTTGACAATATCAACGGAAAACATGTGCTGCACAGCACTGCTAACAATATGAGCAGACATATTTAGGATGGATACAGTAAAGTAACCAGAAGTGCTTAAAGCATCTCAATAATGATGCCAGACAGATTTACATTTCATATTTATGATCAGCCACATATGGAATCGGTTTCTGTTTATATATACTAATATATACACACACACACACACAAAGTTATAAAACATATTGTTAGCCACATATATTTTCTGCTACTTTTTTGTCTTACTTTTGTCTCTTTTTATGCAAACAAACATACTTTTTGTAAGCAAAACTAATTATTACTAGTCAGCTGTTTAAAAAAAAAACTTTCTATATATTAATTATACAGATAAAGAGAGAGAGAATTGATATATAGAAAATGTTCACATAAAATATTTACATAAAACATTTCATATAATTTAAAATAAAATATAATATATTATATATTATAGAAGTATATAATAATTTTATTAGCATATACAGAGAGAAAAAGAGTATTAAACATTACTTGTTCTCATGCAACCATTATGCAACTTTTTATTTTTTTTGTATTACGGTAGACAATTCAATTTTTTGCTTTCCATTTTACACACACACACACACATACATATATATATATATATATTAGGGATGCACCGATACCACTTTTTCCAGTACTCGCCCGATACCGATACTTTTATTTTTGGTACTTGCCGATACCGATGCCGATGCCTATATTTTTATTACATTTGTAAATTTTTTAAATATTGGGTACAGAAACCAAAAGGGTATGTATAATGTTAGTTGGTTAACTTCATTTATCAAATAGATACAGTCAAACCAAATATGTGTGTGTGTGTGTGTGTGTATATACAGTATACACACACATATACACATACATATGTGTGTATATATATATATATGCATTTAACATAGCTACAGTAAAGGGGAACACTTAATGAATAAGTGTTCAATTTCTGTTAAATAATGAAACACTTTTATGACAGTTTTACTGTGCTTTTTGACAGCTCTTGTCCACATCTGCCTTTGCCGCTTGGAAAACAGAAGCAGGACATTCATAACTCTATGTTTCCACTAAAGAAACTACTCCTTTTATGCCTCTATTCATACAGCACGTGTTTTTGAGTGATGGGGCCCTCAATCCTTATTAGGAAGTAATTGTGGCTTTATCAAAACAGACATGCTTTATATCGAACAGCAATCTAAACACAACTGCAAAAAAGCATTGTGAACCGTTTCGAGAAACAGAAAGACAACAGCTCTTAGTGTCTGACTGCACCCCATGAAACGAGACACATACGGCCCGTGACGGAGGAGAAAACACTTTTGGGAAACTCACTAGGTTCTCCTGCGCTTCTGTCTATAAATAGCGAGTCTATCGATCGTGCGACTCCAGCAGCACTGAACCTCACAAAGACGGATGGCAGTAATTTACACGTAATTCCAATACAAGGCCACAATTTGAAAGCGCTTAACTCAGAAAGAGCCTCACTTCACAAAATGAGTCGAGCGAGCGAAGGAGGCAGGATGATGTCATGTCAACAGGGGCGACAGATGATGACAGCAATGAAAAAAATGAGGCGTTACAGCAATATCATTACTCTCCATATAATGCCTTGCTTTTCCTAGAAAATGGAGTGCTCGGTGCAGTGGGATCAAAGACATTACAGGTGCGTTAACAATCACAGCCATACTTTCCGCCATCCATTACACAACGGAGTCAGCGCTCGCCGTCACGGATTATAGGGCTGAGCCATAAAATGATATCATATTGAGTCGCGATAAGATTTATGCCGATAAGCTCTTGACATTTTTACTCAATATGGATTAATCTAAAAGCAGAAATAAATGCGGCAACAGCCAGTCAGTGCTTGTTGCTAATAGGCTAACTATAATAAGGTTTTTATCATTTAATTTGAGAAAAACTACCGTCAAAAACACACTGAAAGACCTTCACGACAACCCGTCAAAATAAGAGTCTAGTTTAACTTGAAGAAATTATGACAGAAATATATTACTATTGGTATTCTAAAATGTAATATTCAAGTAATAATAATATTTTTGAAGAATATCATACAACATTTTCATTCATCTATTCAGTTATACAATGCTATTGTGCAGGCTCTTGAAAAAAAATTAAAATGCAATGTTTTGTTGTAATTATGTTTTCATTTCATTACATTTTGAAAGACGTTAACGTTTTATTAATTCATTTAATTAGACACCTTTTTATGATAAATTTGTACTGAAACATAAAACACAGAATCCAGGAAAAAACATAAAATGGAAAACAGAATTTAAGGGAAAATTAAACCGATTTCATGGTGCCCTAAATTAAATAAGTTTAACTGTGAACAAATTATCTTTACATTCATTCTCAAGGTTTAACAAACATGTGGAAAGCATTTCCTTTCCCATTATTGGTAAATTAAAATCGTGATATTGTATGATATGGAAAAAAAATATTGTGTTAATATATTTGGCCATGTCGCTCAGCCTTAATAGACTGTTGATAGTTGTAGTTTTGATAAGAACTGATACACCATTGCACAGGAGGCTTTTCCCTTGCGTTATTTTATACGAATTGTCCCATCGTGCTCATCTTAATGAACAACATCTGCTAAAAGTAAGATGCAATCAAAAGACATGTTTCCAAAAGACCTTGATACAATGATACAAATCTTTAGGGACTTTACAACGTGTGAGTAATAAATAATAAATCTTGGTTAGGAACATGTTGTTCTCATATTATGTTTATGGTGTTATTATTGAGGCTTATCTAGGATCAGATATGCTGATTTGCTGCTCAAGAAACATTTATGATTATTATCAATGTTAAAAACAGTTGTGCTGCTTCACATTTTTGTGGAAATCCTGATAAGTTTTTTTCAGGATTCTTTGATAAAAGAAATGTTTAAAAGAACAGTATTTATTTGAAATACAAATATTTTGTAAATGCCTTTACGGTCACTTTAGATCAATTTAATGCATCCTTGCTGAACAAAAAAATAAAATAAAATAATAATAATAATAATCTTACTGACTTACTGAACAGTACTGTATTTATAACTGATAAGGTGTTGATATATCATGAAGTCCTAACTTTTATAATACATTTAACATGCTTTTGCATCCTTTTTGAAGCTTGAAAACTTTAGTTTGCGTTCAGTGTAATTGCATGAAAAACAAACTTTCTAATGCGTATAAAGGAAGGCGGAATACGAGTTTGTACTTCAAGTTACCTGGGACTGAGTCCTGAGCTCTTCTCTATGTTGGATGGTCCTCCTCGGTTGTGGTACGAGTCTCGGTCCATCTTCCTCTCCCTGCGGGACGAGGGCGCAGACACTGAGATGGTGTGTCCGCGGGGTCTGTGTCCGGCGGGAGACAGGGGTCCCGGCTGAGCCGTGGGAAACTCCAGCCTCATCCTGGAGGTGGAGGACGAGGAGACGGAGACGCTAGCGCTGGAGCTGGACGGGCCGGCTGATATAACGCTCTCTCCCGGCCAGGTGCTTTCAACCGAAGCCTCTCTCTCGCTGGCCTGGACCGTCGGGATCCTGGAGCTCAGCAGGTCTCCGCCGGAGGCGCTCTGGGCCACAGCCTTGGTGAAGGCCTCTGGGAGAGTCTGCAGCTCCGGGGACGAGCTCGATTTGCTCAGGGTGGTGGCCTGAGATAATGACACGTCAGTCTCTTGATGTCCCGGTGTGGAGAGCGCCGGCGGAGGCTGATCGATGGGGATACCGCCCTCACTCACCTCCTCCAGAGTCGACTTCTCATCGTCCTGACTGGAGGTTGAGGAGGACTTGAGGAGAGAAGAGACAAAATAAATGACATGAATCAGTCTGTGATTTATCAATGCCAATAAAATAAATATACTGGCTGATTGATTGGCCTGGCTGATATATTAGTCGATCACTACCAGTATTGAGAAGTATATCAGGTAATAATAATAAATTATTATTATTATTATTATTGTTGTTGTTATTTCCAAGTGTATATATTATTTACATTTATTTATTTTTGTTATTGTTATATTATTTGTATATGTTATTAATTACATAATAAGCATGAATTACATGACGAAGCCACTCCTTCGTTATTTTAGCTGTGTGCTTAGGGTCATTGTCTTGTTGGAAGGTAAACCTTCGGCCCAGTCTGAGGTCCTGAGCACTCTGGAGAAGGTTTTCGTCCAGGATATCCCTGTACTTGGCCGCATCCATCTTTCCCTCGATTGCAACCAGTCGTCCTGTCCCTACAGCTGAAAAACACCCCCACAGCATAATGCTGCCACCACCATGCTTCACTGTCGGGACTGTATTGGACAGGTGATGAGCAGTACCTGGTTTTCTCCACACATACCGCTAAGAATTAAGGCCAGTGTATTTATATATATATAATAAATATACACAGTACACACACATATGTAAACAAAATATTTTGTTTTGGATGCGATTAATCGTTTGACAGCACTAATTGTTATTACTACAACATGTGTCAAAATTATTACATTATTATCAATCCTGGGGGTAACGCATTACAAGTAACTCAAGTTACAAAAATAACGACTTTATTCAATAATTCGTATCCTCCGCGTCACCGTAGCGCCATTTTGGAGTTTGCGTTCAGTGGATACTCTCCAAAATATGTCGCTACGGTGACGAGGAGGAGACGAATTATTGAATAAAGTCGTTATTTTTGTTTTCTTCGCATACAAAAAGTATTCTCGTCGCTTCATAACGTTACGGTTGAACCACTGATGGCAGATGGACTATTCTGACGATGCTTTTCATACTTTTCTGGACCTTGACAGTGTTATTTACTTGGCAGTCAATAGGACAGTCACAAGCCTCGCGGTTTTCATCCAAAATATCTTAAATTGTGTTCCGAAGACGAACGAAGCTTTAACGGGTTTCAAACTTTGATTTGATTTGATTTGACTTCTGTCCCTGTGCTGAGGGAAATTGGGAGTGAGATGCAGAGGCACTTCCTTCAGACTGCGGCTTATTAATTTCCCTTTTAGTGTGAAAGGGCCTTTAGAGTTGCAAAAAATATAACTTTTGAGTTTTGTTATAAAAAATAAAAAATAAGCAAGCCCAGCCCAGGTGACAAAAAGTAACACAAAAGTGACGTAATGCATTACTTTCCATAAAAAGTAACTAATGCAATTACATACTTAATTACAGAGTACCGCAATATTGTAATGCATTACTTTTAAAAGTGTTTTTACTTTCCCCAACACTGATTATTGTTGAGTGTGTTGAAGGTGTTTAGTGTGGATTCCCTCACTCTGCTCAGTAAGCCGGCTGGTGTTGTAGCGGCGCTCATGAATATGGGTTCAGACGCTACGGCCTCAAACTCCTCCAGCTCTTTGGACTCAGTCGCTCTGCTCCGTCCAGCTTCTTCCAGCACAACCGAATCTGTGAGACGGCAGCATGACAACAATAAACGAGGTGCTGTCACAACACACTGCAGCAGAGGAACGTCTACCATATCTGCGATTAGTCTAGAAACTCTCCTACAGTCACTCTAATACATGCAGAGCCACCTGCACAAACACACACAAGCTGATCCAGTTGAAGCAGGTTCAATACGGATTTCACACTGAAAGGCTTTACAGAACATGCTTTTAGAGACCCAGTGAAATGGAAATGCGAGCTGACGTCCATATGTGTTAGATTTGAGGTCTGTGTGCTAGTGCAGGCTCCTACGAGCTGACAAAAGAAACTGAAGCACACATACACAGTTAAAAGTCTCTCTCTTTCTGAAAAATGTGCCAAAATAATGACGACATGTAAAAACAGCTAGATAAAAACATTTTCCAGCCCTTTAATATTTACAGATTTGTTCTGAGCTTCCTTAAAATGTTCTTTTTAATTATCTGACTTATTATCCGTCAAAATAACATATAATTATAATATCTTGTATTTAATTCAGGCGATTTTTTTTAATAAACTGACAGCCCTAAATATGGCTGTTTATTAATATAAATTGCTATTTTGATGCAAATGCATACCATTATTAAATTAACTGATAATAGTAATAACAAATAATTTTATAAAATTGAATTAATATTGAAAATATTAGCTACATCTGACTAGTAATAGTAAGAATGACTGGGTGATATAGCTAAAAACATTTTTCAGACATTTAAGAATATTTAATATACATTTTAATATCTAAATAATATTTATATATTTGTTCTGTAATTACTAAAATTACATAAAATTATGTTTTTCATTAAGAAAATCTGTCTTTTTTTATTAGCCTTCAAAATTCATTAAATATCGATGCACAGATTAATTCAGTTAATCGCCAAATCATGCAATTCACATACAATTCATATTTTTAATTGACTGATAGGTCTAGTATGCAGGCAATTACTGCTTTTATTATTATTATACAGTGGTCAACATTTGAAGTGGATCAAAAAAGTTAATCTAAGTTGTCCTAAGACAAGAACGCATTTTGGTTTTAGGTTTTAGAACAACTTTAATGAAAGGTTTTGATCCACTTTAAAGGGGTCATATGATGCGATTTCAAGTTTTCCTTTCTCTTTGGAGTGTTACAAGCTGATTGTGCATAGATAAGATCCCTGAAGTTGTAAAGACTAAAGTCTCAAAACCAAAGAGATATACTTTATCAAAGTTAAGACTCTGCCACGCCCCCCTAAAACGGCTCATTCTAACACGCCCCCACATATCTACCCCACTATGTGGAAATATTTGCATAATCCCGCTTGTCGGAAGGAGGGACTTTGTAGAAAACGAAGCGTTTGAGAGAGGCGGGGCATAGAGGACCTACAATAATGTACAGTATTTGAAAAATAATGTGTTTTTTGAACATTAAAGCATGTCAACATATTCTGTTACACCAAATACACAAAATAATGATCTTTAAAAAAGCATCATATGACCCCTTTAAATGTTGACTAGTGTATATTGTTATATTGTAAAATACAAGTATTAACTGATATAATATGACAAATAAATATTTATTTTAGAATAATAATTATTATTAATGATTGCAAAACTACATGAAAATTTTTGTACTTCATAAATTCTTATTACACCACAGCAAAAAAAAATAAAAAGCTTTAAAAAAGCTAGTCGATTTGACAAAATATACACTTTTTATCACCTGTAAAAATACACTTTTCCTTGCACATTCATGCACATTTTAACCTAAAATATTGATATTGAATACAAACAAGTTAACAGACAAGTTATGTCATCTACCTAGTATATTCTTGATTTTTATAGAATGACTGAAACATCTCTGCCCTTCAAATATTTCAAAACCTTTTTTATCCACATCGTCCAGCTCTAACAGGAATACTTTTATGCGGGTCAAACTGAAATCACACATAGAGAGGGAAAACATTACAAGAGAAAGATGCCTTTCATGTCAAAAGAGCAAAGGGAAGTGAAAAGAGCTCCAGGAAAAGGAGGAGGAGCGTCCTGAATCAGGAATCAATCCCATCGCCGGTTCTGTGTGAAGATCGGTTGAGTTGACCGCTGATTAGTTGCTTTGTTCTGGATTGTTGAGTGTTAATGAAGACAGGAGGCTACAGAAACACTCTAGAGCGGCGCGTGTGCGTGTGCGTGCTCAAGGCCACATACATATCTACCTGCCCACGATATACTCCTGTGTAACCTGCCGGGCGTTTCAGGGGAGCAGAGAGAGCCCAGAGCGCCCACTGCAGCGACAAACCCAGACAAAAACCAACACAGGCCAAGCCATCAACACCGCATGGACCCAGAGGAAACACACAGAAACAGGCAAAGAGAGTCAGGCTGACAGAGGGACAGATGTTTTGAGCGGCCCACTGTAGACGGCATGAGAGAAGGCCTTCAAAGAAAAATACTCAGCTGTGGATGACAAATGCTTTCTCTTTTTAATGTGTGTCATTTACATGCACTGTATGTTAGAGAGAGGTGAAACGGCCATTAAGAGGAATAAATCACTGAAACACTTGAGATTCTGCTGAATTAAGTTTCAGCGATTATGCTTTTAGCAGAAATGTTCATGTAAAATAGTAAGAGTCTGAAAAATAAATAAATAAAATAACTGTTTTCAGCAGGCCAGTGCATATACAAAAATAGAAAAAAAAATAAATAAATATATAAACAAACAAATAAATAACAAATAATGAATTAATAAATGTATGTATAAACAAACAAAGTTTTCAGCAGTTTGGTTTATATAAAAAAGCAAGATCTTGGAAATAAATAAATAAACAAACAAATATATGTTTTCAGCAGGCCTGTTTATATAAAACAGCAAGAGTTTGATAAATAGGCTATAAATAAATAAATAGATAGATAGATGAAAAAAATACATAAAAGAATGTTCCCAATGTGTGATGTCATTTCCTCCCCAGAAAGGAAAGGTTTGGCTCTTTGGAATGAAATAGAATACTTGCATACTGCTTACTGCATGCTGCACACTAGATACTGTATACTGTATACCACAGTTCTATAAAAAAAAAATATGTGCTTTTACATACTGTTTATATAAAAATTCTAGGCAACATACAGTATCTATAATAGGCAGTACACAATATGGCTGAATTTGAAATAGCATACTAGTTTTACCATTTCTGCCATATAATAGTAAACGTAGTATGTTATTCTTAATTGGGCCTTTTTATCTCTTAATTTGGAATAGCATACCTGCATACTACTAAGCATACCCGTTTAGCTGTTTTATTCAGCTAATGACATCCAGACATGATCTTGCACATAATAATAATTATTTGGCATATTTAATATGCCTGATTGCGTAAAAATGTCTCAACTTTTGGAAAATAATATGTGAATAATAATAATAATGGTTATATAAAATAAGATAATGATTAATGTTATTCAGGGTTATCGTAGTTAATTAAATTAAAAACATTAAAAAAAATTTATATTAAATGCAATATTAAAAAAGTAAAAAAAATATATATATATTTT